CCAAATAGACCATTTCATCAGACTTTCATTGACTTTTCAAAAGATTGAAACTGAACAATCTGCCCAACATATATTTGTTTTTGTAGACGCATATGAATCTTTTTTTATGCATGCCAGATCCACTGCACTATAATATAAAATATCACATATAATATAAGAATTAATAAATCAATTTATATTTGTTGATATATTCATACAAACTTCTTTAGTTCAATCCGATCAGGTGAGTCTCAAGTCTTGTGACTTATCTGATAGCATTGCCACTGAAAAAAGATGAAACGTGTCTCTATTTTTCTCTTTCTCTCTCTCTCTTCCTTTCTCTCTCTCTCTTTTTATCTTTCTTTCTCTCGTTCTTTTTATTTGTAGTGTATCTTGGTTATTCAAGATTATTTGTCTTTTTATACATATACATAGATGTGTGTGTTTGTATTGAATGGTCCAAGGTTGAAACAATTGAATGCAATAACCACACCTGAGCAGACAGCCTGTCGGGTACCAACACCCACTTTAATCAAATGAGCGTAACGACTATTACGAAGGAGTGAAAAAAAGAATCTGATCAGGTGGGTCTCGAATCTTGTAACTTGTCTGATGGCGTTGCCACTGAAAGGAGGTGAAACGTGTCTCTATCTTTTTTTTTTTTTTTCTCTCTCTCATTCTTTCACTTTCTCTCTCTTTCTCTTTCTCTCTCTGTTTTTCTTTGTTTCTGTCTCTCTCTTTATTTGTAATGTATCTTGGATATTCAAGATTCTTTGTCTTTCTATACATATACATAGATATGCATGTGTGTATTGAATGGTCAAGAGTTGAAGCAGTTGAATGCAATAACCACACGTGAGCAGACAGTCCGCTGGGTACCAACACCCACGCCGCTATCAGAAACATCTGTTGTTTTTGAAACAGAACCCCCCCCCCCTGATAGCGGCGGGAGCTCATATCACCATCGCTATCAGAACCATCTGCTGTTTTTCAAAAAAAAAAAAAAAAAAAACTGCTAGCGGCAGGAGTCCATATCACCATCGCTATTAGAATCATCTGTTGTTTTTCAAAAAAAAAAAAAAAAAAAAAGTCATGCTGCGGTTAGTATGCGCTAAGAAACGAGACATGGTAGATATAGCGATTGGCAATTTCTATTGGGGGAAGAGCCTCCTCCAATCCACTTGTTCTCTTCATCTGATTCCGTCTCGATTTGAACCAGAATCGGTATATGGAATTGAAGGGATCGGTATATGGATTTGAATTGGGATCGGTATATCAATAGTTCATGGTTTACTAATTGAGCTAAGTCCGTTGGTCCAATTCACTTGTCAGAAGAGGCAATACATCACAAAAGTGTGTGAAAGGAGGCAAAACGTGTCTCTATTTTTTTTTCTCTCTCTGTCTCTTTGTTTCTTTCTCTCTCTCTTTCCCTTTCCCTCTCTGTTTTTCTTTCTTTCTCTCTCTCTCTTTATTTGTAGTGTATTTTGGTTATTCAATATTATTTGTCTTTCTATACATATATGTAGGTATATGTGTGTGTATTGAGTGGTCTAGGGTTGAACCAGTTGAATGCAATAACCACACCTAAGCAGATTAGCGAAGGTGCGCGTTCTTTGAGACATGTGTGCTCGTTCTTTGAGATATATGTGCGCGGATTTGTAATCAATCAAGCAAACGTCATCGATTCATCGATCAAAATCGATCAAAATCGATCAAAATCGATCAAAATCGATCAAAATCGATCAAAATCAATCAGTCGATCGTTTGATAAATGGATCAATTAATTAATTAGTCAACGAAAAGTAATCATCCAATCGGATAATCATTCCTTCTTTTTTTATTCCTTTTTTTTTTTTTCTTTTTTTTTTTTAGAACAGGAACCCACTGCGTTGTCCCTTTCCCCTTTGTTTATTCCTATGAGACGTTTTTTTTTTTCAAAAAAAAAATGCTCATGATTATTGAATTCAGAAAAACACAAAAAGTTGATGATCATCAAATTTAGTCCCGACGAAACTTGCTCTCTCTAATGCCGAGAAGCACTTTTTCTCTGAATACAATGCATGCGTTCCCAGCTTGTAATCCAAGCAATAACTAACTTCGCAATTTGACAATTCAACTATTTCAGATTTTAGATTAACTTTTTCAGAAAGTTAATGTCATCTCATATTACTGTGAGCTTATGAGACTCAGTCGATTGAACTTTACACAGCATTGAGCATCTGCTAGTTCCAGCTGAAAAAAACGAGTGTTCTTTTTCGAACCTCAACCTCGATTTTTCCGTATATTATTATTCTAATTGCAGTGGAAAACGTTACTACAATACACAAGATAAGTTTCGCATGTGTTACCAACTCGAGTCCATTAATGCATAATTTGATACTCAAAATCTCATGCGGGATCCTCTACACTTGGCAATAGCAAAGTCGACGGTAAGCCTTTTTATTAGTTAGTTGCAATCACCGTTGTAATTACCACGAAATATGTCATACGAAAATGTGAATGTAAGTATGCTCTTACTCTTTTCTTTGCTTTTCTTATCATGAGATGTCATCCTAGACGATCTGATACATGACTGGTGCTTAATCTTCAATTCACCATGCTTCATGTTATTGTTCGTCCGCTGCGTAGTGGCACTTAGTGCTACCAAAAGTCCATGTTATTATATTCTATTCATCTCAGTATATATTTAAAAAAAATCATTGGGCATACCGGCTGAGCTCTTAGGCACATTGACTGCACTCACCTCTTTTCAGTTTTTATTACTGTTTCTGCGAAAAGTCTATGCCTGTCTGTGATAGTTTGCTATGCTTCAACCATGTTTATCCATACTTGTTCTGTGTCAGCTGATCTGATACATGACTGGTGCTCTGTCTGCAACTCGGCATCCCTCATGTTATTATCTGTCTGTTGCGTAGTAACGTGCAGTGCCACAGAAAAGCTATGTCTGCTTATAATAGCTTGTCATCGGTCAAAGAATTCCATTTGAAGTAGTCATTCTCTTGTGTATCCGTATGTGTTCTTATATCTATATATGTGTTGTCATATTCGGTAGACACTAAAAAAAAACATGATATACCAAATAGACCATTTCGTCAGACTTTCACTGACTTTTCAAGAGGTTGAAACTGAACAATCTGCCCAGCATATATTTGTTTTTGTATGCACATATGCATCTCTTTCTATGCCTACCAGATCCACTGCACTATAATATAAAATATCACATAAAATATAAAAATTAATAAATTAATTTATATTTGTTGATATATTCATACATACTCATTTAGTTCATATATACGTTTTGTGCATTGTTTATATTTTTGTTGTGTTGGTGAAAAAATAGAACAAGATTGTTTCACGTTCAGAAGCCTGAAGACTACTCAAGTTCTAATCTTAAAAATTCAACTCTGAATTGATAAATGAATATTCCTTCAAGCACCGGATGAAGACATATCCGATTCCGTCGTTCAACAGGGGCTCGACATTTTGATTCAGTGCTTCGAAACTATTATCCTCAAATTGTCAACACTCCATCACATCCGTTAATATCGTTGCAAAATATTTTGCCTGGCTTTTTCGTTGCATTTTCACGAATAGTTTATAATATTATAAACAATCCAATCATTGCACCATCCGTAGACGATTTTGTTGTTATCGATCCCTTTCGTGCAATTTTGATACCATTAGCACTTTTTTTAGTCCATTATAATCCAATAGAAGTTACAAGAGCACGGTATGCGTATCATTCTGAATATGAATCTATTCCTAATACTAATCATTTTTTTGATTTTGTACGATATTTTGCACTATTGACATTTCGTTCAGATTGAAGAACGTTCTTTGTTATTGAAGATAATATTGCCTTGCGAATATTATCGCATTCATATTTTTCTTATGCTCTTCTTTCTCTAATTACTTACAATGAAAATCAAATACATTCGTTATCCTTTGGTGCAACGGAGATGTATGATGAACGTGTTGCAAAATACGTTAAAAATTAACCGTATAAATTTTAGAATTACTTTCTACTCATTAACACTCTGTTTATGCACATTTATTACTCCTGTATCAACAAAGTTATCTCGTGACAGAGGAGTTGCTCTAAGATAACTTTTTGTCAATCATTCTTATGATTCAATTATATTAACATCACTTATTGAGCGGAGTGTCACTGCGGAAGGTGGTCAACAACGTTTCGGGCAGGGATTTAGTCACGATCAAGAAGGTTTCATACAGGAGAGTGAAAGTAATGTGTTTAGGATGGAGGGTCCAGCTCTGTGGACCATGGAACTGGTACCGGATCCCTCCTCAACAGATGTCAGTTTTGGGATCGAGCGGAATGTCACTGCGGCAGTAGGTGATGTTGGTACTAGGATTTCGTGTGGGTCCAGGCGCAGGGAGGGAGGCACAGTTTGGACCCCAGTCGAGAGGAGCGGACGCGCAATTTGGGGCCCAGTAGGGACGAGCAAAAAACGGGACCATTCGGAAGAAGGAGTGTGTTTAGCTAGGTATCCTATCAATACTATGCGCGAGGGATATAAGCGATAACTTTGTTCTCTGCTATCTTTACGGGCTGACGTCGACGAAGCAGACTATGGGTGGCCAACTATGGTCGAAGTAACGTTGACGGCGGTGGGTGAGAGGAAGGAATGAGTAGTCTAGGGAGAGGAAGGTCGTCGATCCCCCTGAAGAGACCGCGTGGCGGCGGTCGAAACCGGTCGGGGTGCCATACCCGCCGGAGACACAGTCAGTGCACGTTTCTATGTGTACTTGGATTTGATCTTGCAATATACACGTGTGTACTTGTATACCTGTGTATACTATGTGCATACTTGTGTTTGCTTTCAATCCTCATCTGCATATACAACTGTTGAAGCGCATGTGAACCTGCCTGGAGACGTGTTGCTGGGCGATGTGTGAGCATGTGAGACCTTGTGTATCCGTGTGTTCGGAAGACGACGATTCGAGTGCTGTGTAAGGCGACGTTTGGAGTCGAAGTGTTGGAGACTCCGTTGAAGGTACGATTAAGAGGAGAGTATATCGGCAACAACAGTTACGGGTATAGCGATCAAGCGGATTAACTCTGTCTTAACTACGCTATTCGAAACATGGGCGATCGTAATTACCAAGATTGTGGCAGGGAGCCCAGGACCGACTCTTAAGATAGGGGCCAGGACACGAGACGTGATGAGTCGAGGGAGAGGCCACGAGGTAGGAGTAGGGACGACTACCAAGAACGCAGCGAGAGGGGCTACGGAGCGGGGGAGTACACAAGGAGAGGTCCACAGATCCGCTTCGAATGTGGGGAGCCCGGGCACTACAAGAACCAGTGTCGGAAGAGAAGCGATGGAGCAAGCAGTTCAGCACACCAAAAGGCAACACCAGTTGCGGACGAGACGGTCAAAAAGCAGCTCGAGGAGTTCGGTAAATCGGTAGCGAATTTTCAAGCTTACATCGAAATGGAGAACAGAAAGAAAGAAGACAAGGAGCGAAGGAAGCGCGAGAAGATTGAAAGCGCAAGAAGAGAGGAGGCGGAACGGGCAACGAAGGAGGAACTACGTTTGGCGAAAGAGGGACGTGCAGCGAAGAAGCAAAAAAAAATGAAGAAGCAAGAGGAAGAAAAACTCAAGCTCAAGAAGGCGATGCGTTTGCACCTGGTGGTATGTATGGGAGGGCTACGCGAGGAGATTAAGGAGGAGATGAGGCGCAACATGGAGATGTTCCAAACTATTGTTAAAGGAAAGCAACGCGCTGCCTCCCCAACGCAATCACCATCAGGATCGCAAGGATCTCACACAAGTGGGTGTGCCGCTGGTGGGATTGAGGAGATAAGCCAGAGGGCTAAGAACCTATCGATCAATGAGAAGAGGAAACGCAGTCCGGACAGACCAATTGCCAACAGCCCACCGATGGAGCAGCCACCGAAGAGGACACCGAGGAAGTCTACGACGAAGCCGGTAAAGCTAGCCAGTAAGCTACAAGCAACAACCGCGAAGATAACTACGAGAAAAAAGAAGCAGGGAGGTGAGGAGGTTACGACTCCGATTCCGTATACACCACGATGAGGAACTCCCAAGACTAAGATTGCAGCTAAGACTGGATCAGCTGGGAAGGCAAAATTCATGGTGGAGAACATGAGACAGCTCGCGGACTTCCATGCAGACGACCTCAAAAGATTATGCAGGAGGGAGGAGTTGGAATACGGCAATAAAATGCAGGCGGTCATCAATGTTGCCGAGAAGAGAGCGGAAGAAGCATACGATGAGGAAATAGCAGAATCGACTCCGCCGGCAGGATCAAGAGATGACACCGCCGATAGCGCCGAATCCACAAGTGGCGATAGCACCTAAGCATGACTCGAGGAAGATGGGCCAAGGCTATGGAGTCTGTGCCATTGGCTCATCGAACATCGGAAACGAGCCAAATTTGAATTGGCCATCGAGCGACTGTATCGCGTCGTAGTCGGGCTGTTGGGTGCAACGGGAAGAATTAGGTGGTTGAAAAAGTATATAGCAGCATGGGTGAAGTTGTACAATAAGTACGGACCGGAGTTCATGGACAAGCATCGGGGGGTCTACACGCTATGCTCACCGAGATGTAGAGCATCCTACATCGGGCAGACAAGTCGGGATGTAAACGTCAGGTGGAAGGAGCACATAGTGGCAAGCGTACGGGACAAGAGGAATACTCACCTGTACCGCTGGTGGCGCACGTTCGGCGCCGAATCCTATGTTATGCTTCCGGTGGATGAAGAAGCAACGCACAACCTGATCGATCTGGAACAACTGTACATAAAAAAGTGGTCGTCAGTGCTCAACGTGAGCGGCGTGAGCAAGAAATCGCGGAGGAAAAAAAAACAACGGAAAGGGAAGAACGAAAGGCAACGAGCAAGGAGCGGTGAGCCGCTGAGCAAGCACGAAGGTAGCGCAGTGGAAGTAATCCAGTTTCGAACGTCGGAGGAAAACGAATGGCACGCCGACGCTCTCAAAGTTCTCGACGAAGCGGAGCAGAGGAAGATGAGGACATTACATCTGTACTCGACAGGAGGCAATAGTTGGATCAAAGGATGGAAGAGAATGAGGAAGACATACGGTGCAACTACGGTGGAGGTCGAAGGGCAAGCAAAAAAACTGGCAAAATGTCGAGTGGATATAGAGCACGGGCGTACCATCCTCATCAAGCACCTCCGTAAGTGGAGACCGAAGAGTGGGCCGGACAAGGAGGCGCTGACGAGGCTACTACGCAATCCGAGTAGGATTCAGGATCTAGGAGCAGTCAACACAAATGTTATGTTCCGCTGGTACAAAGCAGCAAAGGACTTCCAGCAGAAGTCGACGCGTTCCTATCTACGGCGGATGTTGTCTCGGGCGATTAAGGAGAAGACTGGATGGTGTATGGGAGCAGACCTAATAGTGAAGATTAGGTACAAGGATCGCGTGAAGTTAGCGGAGGTCAGAAAGGTAGTCAACGACAAGATTGAGGCGCTCGGACTACTGGAGTGCATGGCAAAACGTACACGAAGTAAAGTTCGGACGGTCTGGGAGAGGAACCAGTCCGTCGTGGAGATTTTACACAACCAACGGGCTTACGCCCGAGCAGCTGTGTCTACCTGCACGTGTGCAGGTCTCCCCTATCCAAGGGTAGGGGAACATGTACGTTTCCGACTGCATGAGGTGCCTGGTATTCACCCATTGTTGAGCAATGCAAACAATGTGCCGAGAGCACAGCATCCGAGTAGGCGAAGAATGCTATGCAAGGAGATCGAAGATGCGTTCGGACAGTGGAAGAACAGAGGGGACGTAGACGTGCGCGTTACAGAGCAGGAAGTTGAGATCTGCATGACAGGAAATGGGGAGAGTGGAGGCGACTTCTTGGACATCGAAGTTGTTAAAGCCGCGAAGAAGAGATTCGAAGGCTTGGTATTGACTCCTCTGGACCGGAATCCAGGGGAGACCTACATCATGTGCCCCTACATCTACTATGAGGCTATGATGGAGAACTTTGTGACAAATCCAGGTTACGAAATCGTCAAAGCAGAGGAGGAAGAAATCAAGCAAGCAGTGCAAGGAGCTTTCAAGGAGGAAGGACTTGCCAAGTTCGCAAGGTACGACAGACAAGGGACCTTTGGTGCGGCTTACCTTCAACCTAAGCACAAGGATGTGGAGAGATACAGGCCTATCTGCCTGTCGTACTCCGACCCAGCCACGCGAATGGGGAAATGTGTCGCTAAAGCCTTGAACCACCTGTTGTTTCAGCTTCCTACCACCTAGCACTTTAATCTGCGATCCGTCACTGACGTGGTGGAGAGTGTCGGGAAGATTAACCGGAGATGCGAAGCTAAGGCAAACCCTGAGGTGGAGTTAGCAGTCATGTCCTACGAAATTAAGGACATGTTCAACAAATTGTCACACCGAGATATTCTGGAAGCTGCCAATTGGATGATTGACTACTACCAATGCAAAGGACGGAGCAGCATTCGGGTCAACACACGAGGAAGAGGCTGTTCCTTTGGGAAATCGACGGGCGGAGACCACTGGCGAGAGATGGATCTGGAAGACATCAGGAAGTTCGTGCGAGTGGACATTGAACACACGTACGTCCATGCGACTGGAGTACTCCTGCGGCAGACAGGTGGCATCCCCATGGGCAAGAGTACTAGCCCACCATTGGCATGCATACTGTGTGCGTTTTCGGAATTCAAGTTTCTGAACAACTTGGGAAAGATGAGGAGGAAAGTGCATGGGATGCGACTGATGGACGATGTGAGTCTCATCGTGGATGTGGGAAAGAAGCGACCGAGCAATGTGGTGGATAACATCAGAGAGAGATTCGAAGCATGCTATCCAAGGAATCTCACTTTGAAAAGGACGGATAATGGGGAAGGGACATGGGACTTCCTCGGACTGGAGATGACAACGAGGAGAGCATCTCCATACTTGGGAAGTGTGCAGGTATCGAGGAATGAGAAATCAGTCTGGGACGGCGAGGAGCTGGTTTTCAAGAACGGACAGTGCTACCAATCATGGGGTAGCAAACATCAGAAAAGCGATGTGATCGCTAGCTACCTGCACCGGATCGACGCGAATACTACTGTTCGGTCGGAGATCCTGCAGCGAGTACTGACGCTGTGCAGGGAGTTGAGATTGAAGAGCTTCCCGGAGGACTTTGTTAATTGCACGATCAAGCGATTCAGCATCGGGCGGGGGAAAATATGGAAGCTCACACGCGATTGGATCTGTGGTTAGGAATGCCATGTGTAATTGGCAGTAGGTGCGAAGCAAGTAAGGCAGAATACGTATAGTATAGTGCATAGCGGAGGATTGTTTCCATAATGAATTTGTATGGCTTATATAAGGGGTCGAGGAGTAGAATGAGCATGTTATGGGAACAATAACCTCTCACGGAGAACCAATGGTATACACCGTAGCAGGGACTATCTGGCGACTCATGCTCTCTTGTTTGTTCTGCCTTTCTGTTTGAATGGAGGTGTTCAGCAAGTTACGAGGGATTTGGGTGTACAATGTTGCAATTGGTCGCAGATAAGTTCATTGTGATAAGGATGCAGGTAAGATTGGTAAGTCATCATTCGGTTGAGTAGATGTAGTGTACGTAGTGTGAGTAGGACGGAAGGCACAGGTTCGTGTAACAGGGAACCGGCACATGATCTGTTCCGAGCAGAGACCAGTTTTGGAAGGTTGTGGACACGTTCATTGGGATAGGGATTTAGTCGCGATCTAGAAGGTTTCATACAGGAGAGTAGAAGTAATGTGTTTAGGATGGAGGGTCCAACTTTGTGGACCACGGAACTGGTACCGGATCCGTCCTCAACAGATGTCAGTTTTGGGATCGAGTGGAATGCCACTGCGGCAGTAGGTGATGTTGGTACTAGGATTTCGCGTGTGTCCAGGCGCAGGGAGGGAGGCGCAATTTGGACCCCAGTCGGGAGGAGCGGACACACAATTTGGGGCCCAGTAGGGACGAGCAAAAAACGGGACCATTCGGAAGCAGGAGTGTGTTTAGCTAAGTATCGTATCAATACTATGAGTGAGGGATATAAGCGATAACTGTGTTCTCTGCTATCTTTACGGACTGACGTCGACGAAGCAGACTATGGGTGGCCAACTATGGCCGAAGTAACGTTGACGGCGGTGGGTGAGAGGAAGAAATGAGTAGTCTAGGGAGAGGAAGGTGGTAGATCCCCCTGAAGAGAACGCGTGGCGGCGGTCGAAACCGGTCGGGGTACCATACCCGCCAGAGACACAGTCAGTGCACATTTCTATGTGTACTTGGATTCGATCTTGCAATATGCACGCATCTACTCGTATACCTGTGTATGTTGTGTGCATACTTGTGTTTGCTTTCAATCCTCATCTGCATATACAACTTATTGATCTCAGTCAACATTTATTATTTGTTTTTGCTCATAATGAAAATAATAATCCTGCTTTCCTTGCATAATGGTTTTTTTGGGGACCTGGAACTTGGTTTTACTACAGACTCAACCATATTAATCGTTGCTCTTTGTCATATTAAATCTTTCTCATCCAATTCATCAACCATTACCTTTTGCTCCATTTTGACATGTTTTTAGAATTGATCATGATGCAAATAGCTTCGCATTCTTCTCTTTTGCAATGTTAATAAAGTTTCGACATTCATTAGATGCAAAGCATCTCCACTTTATGCCTCGCGATGTGATACAAGCTTCAGCGATACAAGATTCTCAATGCTTATACGAAATCCGATAAGTCGAAAAACAATTGTTTTCGACAAAAACACTTACTAAAAAGATGTTCAATTTGTATATATATATATATATATATTTTTAATCAAATTTTGACATTAATTACATTATAAACAATTCTAGTTTTTTTATAGTTTAATCATTTGGCAATGTTAAAATATAATATTATATCAGCATAAGAAAATTCGTAAATTTGTAAAGGACATTTCAGTGAAAAATATTATATACTATATACAAAAATAGAGTATATTTTTGTTTTTAAAAAATATATATTTTTAAGCATATTTGAATATATTATTTCAATGTTTGAAAATTTTACATAAAATTTTCAAACATAATAATTTGTGACTAATATTAAATTGTACGGCTTCTATTTTTTTAATAATTTTTAATTTATATTATCTTTTAATTTTTACTTTTTTTGGTGTACTTTTTTTTTTTAATAAATAATACTTATCTTTCTTTTTTATCTTCACAATTCAATAAGATTTTGAATTAAAATTATGCACCATATATATTCAATTTTATTTATCGTTTATATTGTTTTGCGATTTTTTATTTTTTTTTTATTGTTTTTTATTTTATTTTTTTAACTTATTTTCTTATTCTTCTTTTTGCAATTTTGAAATGTTGTAATATCGTCGCTTTTATCTAACGATTTTTTTCCACTTTTTCTATTTTGTTTTCAAAAATATTTTTTTTTTTTTTATTGTTTTTTTTTTTTTTTTTTTTTCAAATTGTTTTTTTTTTTTTTTTTTTCAGGGATTTCATTCAAAAAAAAAAAAAAAAAAAAAAAAAAAAAAAAAACGATTTTTTTTTCGCTTTTCCAATTTTACTTTAAAAAATTTTCATTTTTTTTAATGATTTTTATATATTATTTGCTTCACATTGTTTGCTGCCTTTTTTTTTGCAAGGATTTTGTTACAAGAAAAAAAAAAACTAACAACAAAAAAAACAAAAAAACTATAAATATATATTATTAAAATATGATATAATTTTAGAAATTTTATTTAATTTTTAAAATAATCATATCTTATATAATTTCGTTATCTCTATATATTTTTCATCGTTATAAAATAATTACTATCAATTTTCTATTCTTTTACTTATATTTCGATATATATATAAAACAAGATGTCATTATCCAGTTCGGAAAATTATAAGCCTACTAAAAAAAGACAAAAAAAATAAGAAACCACAGATAAACGAGAAATTCGATTAGCAAAACGACGTTCAACAACTCGTTTACGTAAACTTAATGAAAGCGAAGAAGCTCGTAAAAAACGGTTGGCATACGATGTAGCTTGGCACAAACAAGCAAAATAAAAAAAATAAAATATTAACAATTCAGTTAATAAAGAAAATGATATTCAAAATATTAAAAACCAATTTCAGAAGAGCAAAATACATTATTGCATGAACAAAACATCATCAATTTAATATTACCAAGTACTAATTTGTTTAATTCACTTCATCTCAAACATGATATCTACAATAATAACAACATAAAAATAAACGAAATTCCCCCCCCCCAAAAAATAACACAACAACGAGAAATACAATTATCAAAACGACGTGCAGAGGCTCGTTTACGTAAACTTAATGAAAGCGAAGAAGCTCGTAAAAAACGTTTAGCATACCAGACTGCTTGGAAAAGACAAGCAAGATAAAAAAAAACGAAACATCAACAATTCAATATCACAAAATAGTATTTCTTTAGAATTATTCACTGAAAAAAATTCTATTCATAATAGAGAAAACCTAGATTTTCTTGAAAATACTCTACTTTTGCAAAAAGAACAAAATATATCCTCACATAAATTACAAAATCAACCTGTACGTATCAAAAAATTTGCTCGCCAAAAAAACTTTCTGCAGAATGACATAATACCAAATACGAAATCATCAGATATAACATTATCAAATGATGCTTCAAATATATATGATACAAATAAAACTTTGAATAAACCAATAAAACATATACGTTTAAAAATTCTTGCACAGAGATAATGAAATATATCATTTTCAAACAATACTATTAACATATCCAAGACACACGAAAATATAAACAAACCAATCAAACACATACGTTTCAAAACACTTGATCGTTCAAATAACAATAAAAAAATCAAATTGTTACTCTAACATTCATTTTACCAATTTCTCAATTACAAAAAGATAATCTTGCGAAATATATATCACAACAATTAAACCCTTCACAATTAGGAGAAGTAACATGTTCTGTTTGTGATGAATTAGTATTGCACATTAATATTCATAAATACTCACCAAACGATTCAAATATTTTAAATTGTATGCATAAATATTTACATAATCATGAACCTTCATTACATCCTAATCTTATTAAACATTATGATTGCAGTGATCTATGTTCTTTGGTTAAAAATCTCATGCTATTTAAAAAAGGCATCAACATTGAAACAAATCAAAATATAACAATGAAAATATGCAAAGAATGTAACAATGCATTATTTAATCCCCGTCGACAAACAAATTTACCAAAATTTGCAATTGCCAATCACGTTTTTATTGGTAGATTACCACCACTTTTACAAAAAGTTACTTGGCCTGAATTATTAATGACAAGCTTAACAAATATACTTGCACAAACAAGTATCATGAGTGAAGGAATGCAATGTTCAATACGTTCT